ATATATACATACACACACACACACACACACACATATATATATATATATATCATCCAATCCAATAAAGATGATTTGCCGAAATCTTTTTCACACACACACATACACAGACACACAAACATACATATGCATACATACATACATACACACATACACGCACACACACACGCACACACCCACGCAGACATACAGACACACAGGCATACATACACACTCACAGACACACACACGCATATATATATACAATATATATATATATATCAACATACACACACAGATCACACCCCATCCGACTGCCAAACAAGGCATACATACAAACCCTCACCTGCGGAGCCTCTGGCACTGCTTGCCGACCGCATGCGCAATCGCCGCAGTGTATTGCGGGACACTCGAGCACTGTTAACACTGGCCTTATCTACCAGAGTGTCCGCTACTTGGGGAGTGGTGAAGATGATCTCTCGGCGGTGCATCTCCAGGCGCAGGTCCTGGATCAGATTGACTTTGGTTGTGGCACTGAAGAAGGGCTGTCTGCGGACGCCCACCATGCCATTGGCTGTGTAGAGAGACGCGGGGTATGTGTGGTATGCGTCAGATAGTGTGCGAGAAACAAGTTAGTGTATTTTGTAGACCAGACAAGCTCTTCAGAGATAATTATATTTCATTGATGTACGGTTAAAGAGAGGGCACCATGCGCTCGAGACACTATGTCTGTGGTACTGGGCATTGGGATATAGCGGGTTGATTTGAGTTCACACGATGATGGTGCCAGTGGTGAGACAATATTAAAGCCGTTGCAGGCTCAAGGCTAATTTGGAAGAACCGGTATTCGTATACTGCTCTTGACAGCTGCGGTTATGCATACTTTCGGAAGGCACCCACAGATGGTATTAGACTGTTTAATACAGACACACAGCTCCAGCCACAGCCATATATATATATATATATATATAAATATATATATACTTCCCTTCTCCCTCCCCATAACACACACAGACACACAGACACATACACACACACACACACACACACACATATATATATATATATATACATATATATATATAAATACATATATATATATATATATTTATATAGCAGAGTCAAGGCTGAGCGAACGAGCAAGAGTTAAGTTGTGCACTATCACGAATCTGGTCGCCACAGTCATTCACTTGCAATAAGAGGGCGATACACGTAAAGACAAAAATAGAAACTATCGCGCAAGTTTCCCGTATATATGCACCGGAGAACCCACACAGATATGATGTAAGGGGAAGCGCATGACAAGCTAACTGCAGGAACACATCCTACATACTTCATACTAGCCTGTACAATTCTGTAATGGCCAACATACTTGATATGTTTGGCGCGGAAGCCCCTAAGACGGTTGTATTGCCAAAGCTCTGGTTGTTTGCGTCGGAGAATACCCTCTGCTCCACTGCAAGAAGTAATTTATGCGCGTGGTCCAAGTGTAAGTTTTTGGAGATCGACGCGAATATATATATATATATATATATATAAATATAAATATGTATATGAATAATCATCGGGATGATTCCAGCTTGCTTGCGTATCGAACAATTTTCTACGGACCTCGAATATATCCGATTTGAACTTATGCATCCTTTTTGCCCATCCAAAAACATAATTCTAGAAGGAACACACCCTGAAGAAAATTAGATCACGCACACCATACCAGTAGCAAAGACTACGATATACTGAACACAACAACTCAGACGTTTGGGCATACACAGCTTGATCATTTACCATTCACCATGATCAGTACGACGGTAAAGATGTAAGCGTGAATACTTAAAGCGTGTATATTGATGTGTACGTTCATTAAAACATATGTCACCCGCATAGCATAGGACTGCACCGATTAAACTCACTCACCACTCTGCATGATTCGTACAAGGGAGTATTCGTCCATAGTATGCCCCCCGGGAGGATCAAAAGGCGCATAAGGTATTAACAGCATATATAACAGCCGAAGGGCATAGTGGTCTCTGGAGGGCCGACGATCTCGCCTGAGAATAAGTAGGAGCCGCTTGAGAGCACTCTTAAGCACCCTGTGATAGTGTAAGGTGAAGGTGTATGGTATGAGAATCAGAAATATACATATATGTATACACACACACACACACACACATATATATATATATATATATGTTAAATATATA